ATGAAATTTACAAGGTACTTTCCATAAATGTTGTAGCAATTTCCTATTTGTGTTTCAATACCAAGTCGAAAATCACTGGAAAGATTCTTCCTTATCCTCGGACGGTTAATAGATGAAAATCTGTCACTAATTGGCTAGATATTTTGCTCATAAGAGAATATCCCTCGTAACGGTATAAGATTAAATGCTTTAAAGGAAAAATTGAAGGCCTCGTTGAGCCTGATGAAAATGAGCAGCCATGAGACGTGTCTTTCTCGGTGCTGCTGGATAAAGTAACTTGGTCGGGTAACTACAACCGTTGCTTTTGCATTTTATCAGAAGGTGATTTGCTAATGACCGACTAGACAGTTGGCGAGTAATCAATGTTATATTTCTTTCACTTCTCAAGCGAATAGATGCGTACAATGTTTACTTTTCTTGTTTCCAAAATTTTCCTTTGCAATCAATGAATACATTTCGATGGGAAGGCGACCTGTACTCACCGTAGATGAAAAAAAAATAGGTAGATGGATTAATAAAAAAGTAGGACAAATAAATAAGTAAATAAATGGCGCACAGATAAAAAGATTTTCACACAGTAAATAAGCACATACCTTGGACAAATAACATGAAAGGACACATTTAATCTTTATTTCTACATGACCCGTGACCATATCTTCCATTCGGTTCACAGCACTTCTTGCATTTAGTTTGTTTCAATGGCATTCATCGCTCGCAAGTATTCCTGCCGAAATTTGGCATATTGTTTCACGTGCTGCTTGAAGAATTCGTCTTCCATGCGAATCTCGAACAATGTTTGTCAAGTCAATCTTTTTTACGATCCTGAAATTACCAGGGTTGAGGTGTTCCCACGTGGACTGGAGGAGCGCGTAGTGAACGACATTGGGAAATAGGGTCGACCCAGCATCTTGCTCCACGGTGGACTGCATCACTAATCAGTGCGCTGCCCTCCTTCTTGAAATGACACAAACTTTTGGAAAGTTCTTTTTATACTGCTTCTCTCTAGCGTGGAAGTACAAGTTCAGTATTATATCTTTTTATTAGCACATAATATCCGACCTATCGGTGGTTTCTCCTTTCTCAGAGCCTGGAATGGTTAAAATTAAAGCAATCTGCTCAGCTAAAACCATTCATAACTCTAGCAAATATGACTTAACATATAAATCTAAACTCGTATAAAAAACAGCTTCTTTTAAACACCCACCGTTTTGTCCGTTGTAAGTTTTCCAGTTAGTTAGTGCAGTGCCGCTGCAGAGTGATTACGAAAGCCGAGAAATGTGCTTGGGTTATAGAATTAATGAAGCATGGTGCTAGTCCACCTTGAACACAAAACACTCCTCCTTGCTGATCGCTTCTGGATTTTCGAATGACTTCTTTTTTCTTTCTAGTTTTTCTTTTATTCACCAGCGATTGCTGGTGCTGACGTTTTCCAGGGGTCATCATCCATAGTGTAGTCTTCCATTGTCTGCTATTTTCTGTCAACTCAAAGTGGCCATTTTATAGAATTAACTAGTTTTCTGAAGTTGGGTATCGTTGAAGAATGGCGGTAAGTCGCTTTGAAAAGTTTGCAAAAAATGGTTTGTCGCGAAGACTTTCAAAATTCGATTCTTTCTCAGTGAATGGAAAGGCAATCGCCTACTTTTTAAATGTATAATGTTCCAGGAAGACTAGCCGTTGCTCTGCTAAACCTTAAGAGCTTCAAGCAGTAGAATTTGTGCTTTTTATTGCATGTGAATGTAAATTTCTTTGGATTTTCTACCGTAAAAAAACCACTTTTTCTCAGAAACTTTCAATTAACCTCGGCACGGGATTACAAAGGTGTCGTTTTCTTCCTCAGCAATCACGAGGTTGTTATATAGCACACGTTTACTTTCTTATTAAAAACACATACAACACAGCAGCAGTCGACGTTTCTGCAGCACCGCCTTCTTCACGGGCTGGAAGGATATACTGATGTGCAATTTATTACTCCAAACGATTTCCGACAATTGGACAAAAGTAACCATAAACAGAGTGCTTTTCTTCCCTTGTTTGGAGCTACATCAACACAGGTCTTTGGTTGACCCCTCTTCAAACTTGGACAGCTTCAAGAATTAGTTCTTGTCTTTTCTATTAGGTGTGAATGGAAATTTTTCTCAATAATGGACCAACTTTTCGCCTAAATTTTCTTTTAAAGGAAACCGTGGCAAAAGCATATGAACACTTCTCCTGGTGCGAAGCATCACTTCTTGAAAACCTATTGAAAAGTTCAACGTTCAAGTAAATCCTAGCGAAGGTTACTATCAAAATCTTCATTATTCGTTTAGCAAGAATGTCATGTATCTTCACAATACTTGAAGATCATCACCACATGAATGCTATGGCGACCTTTAAGCGATTTCGACTCTCGTGCGACACCATTAAACCGAAAACTTGGTTAGTATGGTATGTCTTCTTTAACAGCTAATGTTACCTGGTTACGGAATTGTATGATGAACATGCAATCAATTACAAGTTGAAACTGTTTGTCGCTCAGAACTGCAAATGAAACGGCACAAAGCTGGTTATTCACATTTCTTAGATCGCAAGTTTCTAATGTTTGAGCTTGAGGCTTCATGGGGCTAACTATGCCACCGATTTGTCATGTGCTAAAATAGATTTTGTGAGAGAAAAGATTTTTTTAGATATTCTAGTGTTATTAGATTTTCTAGATTAGACCAGATTACATCTAGAACTAAATTTTTTTGAATTATCAACTTTGTTTTCGCCGTTACCAAAGGCGTGAATATCTGCTTATGGTTTGTTGAGACCGAGATTTGTGAATTAGTTAAAAGAATCAAAATTATTGAATGAGCATTCCCAGTACAATAAATTCACCTGTGAGAAAGGAAACGAAATTGGGTTCAATTTTTAGACGTTCAAATTACCTTTATTAATTCCAAGTAACAAGAAACTCTTTGTTCATTTTCTTTCTCCCACCCTTCACATCCAAAGAGGGCGCTTGTGAGAAACATTTTTCGAACAGCCACCTCTGCGTCTACAGATAGGGTGCTAAAGGAACAATTGCGTGATTTGGCTCACACAATAGCCAATTCCAACGCCTACGAAACAAAAACCGCATGAGGTTTGGAAGGACAGCAACGCCGAAAAACGAAAGACTTGGCCTAAAGAAAATTCCGTTTATGTTGCCATTGATTTGCGATAAAGTAAATATAGCTGTAAAGCGATCCTTGAAAAGTGCAAGTCCAGAGGAATCGGTAGTGTTAGTTGAAATACCACCGGATAATCTAAGTCGCCAATTAGTTCGTAACCGCCTGTATGATTGTTTATGTGAAACACAGAATTACACAACTTACCCTTATGGCCGAGGCGGTGACTGCGTGAGTTCAGATACGATGTAGTTAAAGTTTTATAATATTTGCGTAGTTGGTTATATTGGCGAAATGTTCAGGATATTATGAACTCGTACAAGAAAAAATTTTGATGGCAAAAGAAAAACTCTGGTGATGCATAGGACAGACATGCACAGCGGAAACGGATTTTGATATAAAAGTTAATAGTAACGGCGGTTGCCCAGAGATCACAAATGATTGCAGTTCTTCCCTAGTGGAAGGCGCGTAAAAAGCGGTGGATTTTTCGAGATACTGTTGATCGTGTGATTACCATATACATTTCCTTCTTACTGTATGTTTCAGTTAATAAATTTCATACCAGTGCACCCTTTCAGACTCTGAAAAGGGCGATTCTGCCGAAAAATCAGGTACTGTTGTGTTGTGTTGGTTTTGTGTTCGGAAGTAAACATATGGTGTAAAACATACTCGTCATTCCTTAAAAGGAAAACTATGCATGGACCACTTTTTATGAAATTTTCTAGACAAAGGTAACACCGGTAAAAACTCATATCGAAATGTTTGTTATTCTGGCTCCAAAAAATGACACATTCTTAGAAATATCCTTTGACATGGCCGTTTGGATCACCTCTCTGTAGAGGTTTTGAAGAAGTTTCAATACTCATTGACTACGACGTTGCTGAGATTATTGCAAAACTTTGGACCGCAAGTGTCTATGGTGGGGAACGGACGCGCTATCGTCCTTTCCGAGGAGTAACGCGTTCAATACCACACCATGCGGAACCTTCGTTTCGCCTGTCTCTCAGCTATTTCCGGGTGATTGCTGTAGCAAAAATGGATAGAAATAGCTGAGAGACAGGCAAAACGAAGGACCCGCATGGTGTGGTGGTAAAGGCGCTACTCCCCGGAAAGGACAATAGCGCGTTCGTTCCCCACCATAGACACCTACGGTCCAGAGATTTGCAAATATCTCAGCAACGTTGTGGATGTTTTTCGCTTAGTACCCTGCCGCGAAATTATAGTAGGCAAAAAGTAAAAAGGTATAACATATAGAGAACATTCGTCACGAATATTGGAATGTTCTCTATGTAAAACAATTCAAACCTTTCAAAACACTTCAAATACTTCTCCCATGACCTTCTCTCCGTGACGATCTAATAGCCGTATGTCTAACATTTCGCTGCTGCCTATCTCGTAAAATATCTGCACTTACGGTTCTAGGTTTTAAATATCGCTCTATAAGATTGCAATGCTTGAGAAATGTTTCCAGCACCCGTCTTTCTGTCTGCTGTAGCTCGACTCCGCCTACTGTAATCTGACTCTGCTCAACGCAAAGGTGTAAACGGCTCCACGGTCAGCTAGCTCATGACACAGCAATGCTGCCCAAGTCACCGCATTCGTGCCTCACATTAATCTCATTTACTAAAAGTCATGTGCCACAATTTCTTCACTCATAAGCAACCAAAACACCAGTGATCAGGCTGCGTCTATTCATTACCCGTATCATCGTTGCATTAATTGTATAGTTGTATTGTTATGATTGTTCTATATTTATGATAAACGGTTTAATTAGAAGAAATCAGCATCCAAAACCTGCATGATGAGATAACGCCCACCGTTATTCACACAAGCCTACAGCAATTAGAGAAAGGAGTTGCAGCGTTAGAAAACATGACCACAAAGATTCAACACGCCCTAGATGAACTCGATACCATGTTCGAAAATACACATCCAACGCTACCCAATATTGAAGAAGAGTTCGCACAGTACTCAAGTACTGCCGAAGAAGGTATTGGCGATACTTTCGAATACCTTGTACTTCTCCATGCTCGGATCCATGGCTTCAAGGCTCACGCCGAGCTTCTTAACACATCCCACAAGCCCTCCACTACGAACGAACAGTGGCAAAGATAAATCCACCGTCACTGCGGTCGCGAAAAATCTGGAGCTACCCACAATTCCTTTTCCAACATTCAATGGCGACATATGGGACTGAGACAACTTTTGGGAGCTTTCAACTTAAATGCACTTTCACAAAATCTTTCCGAGCTACAAAAATTCAACTACCTGCTTAGCTCCTTAAAGGGGGAACCTCTACAATCGATGGAGAAGTTCCAACTCACTCGGCAAAACTACGTAAAAGCCATAGAATTCCTTAGTAATAAGCACGGTAATTCTAAAAAACTCATTAGCCAGCTCCTCAAAAAGATGGACAAAATCTCCTTCAACTCATCGTCCATACAAGAGCAACGCAGACTATTGGATGGCATAGAAGCCATCATAGGCCAATCAGTGCAAAAAGGTGACAATGTCGACAGTCAGTCCATGTATCAAAAGGCTCTTTCGAAATTTCCGGTCGGGATCCAACGTAAAGTTCTTCACAAAAAATCACTTCTCTTGACGAACTCTTCACCATGCAACAGCTTCTAAAACATTTCGAAGAGGTTATAACTAGCGAGGAACTGGCGTGTCGCCAGACCACCTCAACACCTTCTCGAGATACAGATGGGCGTTATCTCATCATGCAGGTTTTGGATGCTGATTTCTTCTAACTGCGCGTCTTTGAATCGGGTTTGAACTTTTCGCAATTGGTTAGTATACCGCGTGAGTATCCGTTTGTGACTTGCCAGTGATAGGTTGGACATGATTGACGAATTAACGCACTTGGTTCTGACTTCCTTGACCTGATGGATCCTTTCAAGCGGCCAATGCACCAGAAATTGTTGGGACGGCTCGTTGATATAGGAATACCAAGTAGTTAAGACAATTTGGTCGGAATTAGCTGCTCGCCTTTGTGTACGCCACGCGGAACTTCTTGTGACTAGCAGTCACAATGCCAGACACTTCATACTTGGGTAATTAAACCGTTTATCATAAATATAGAACAATCATAACAATACAACTATACAATTAAAGCAGCAATGACACGGGTTATGAGTAGGCGCAGCTTGATCACTGGTGTTTAGGTTGCTTACGAGAGAAGAGATTGGCATAGCAGTACAGCTGTATAATTAATGCAACGATGATACGGGTAATGAATAGACGCAGCCTGATCACTGGTGTTTAGGCTGCTTATGAGTGAAGAGATTGTGGCACATGACTTTTACTACATGAGATTAATGTGAGGCAGGAATGCGGTGACTTGGGCAGCATTTCTGTGACATGGACTAGCTAACCGTTGAGCCGTTCATACACCTTTGCGCTGAGCGGAGTCAGATTACAGTAGGCGGAGTCGAGCTACAGTAGGCAGAAAGACGGGTGCTGGAAACATTGCTCACGCATTGCAAACTGATAGGGCGATATTGAAAGCTTAGGACCGTAAGTGCAGATATTTTGCAAGATAGGCGGCAGCGAAATGTTAGACATACGGCTATTAGATCGTCATGGAGAGAAGGTCATGGGAGAAGCATTTGAAATGTTTGGAAAGGTTTGAATTGTTTTACATAGAGAACATTCCAATGTTCGTGAAGGATGTTCTCTATACACTATCCTTACGCAGGAATCGAAAACATCAGCGCGTATAACTCTTGAAAAGTTTTGGATCAATGCCAAAAATTCAAAAATGAACCGCAAGGAGGAGTGCCTTGTCATCACGCGTGACCTGGCGCCATACCTCAGGCTAATCCAATGAGATGACACAGACACAGTTATCGCCCATGCATTACTCTGTGCGGCGGCTATCCATCAACTATCTTAAATACTTACAACAAATAAACGGTAGGTGTTTGAATGAAGCTGTTTCTTATGCGAATGCAAATCGATTTGTCAAGTTTTATCTGCTATGGTTATGAAAGTGTTTGGCTGAGTAGATCACATCTCAATTTGACCTTTCCAAGCTCTGAAGGAGGCGAAACCACCGAAACGTCAGCTATTGTATTTTAATAAATTCTATATTAACAACCTCGTATCTGCTTATTGAAGAAAAACATTGAATCAACAAGGATATTCAATCAGTGCCGAGGTTAATAGAAAGTCGGACTTGGGAGTTTCAACAAGGGTAGTTCGTAAGAATAGCGTATCAAGACGTGGAGTCTTTGATGAAGACGAAGACGTCGAAACGTTAGGAGAGATAAATATTTTCATCAGCCTCGTGTAAGCTCAACAGTTTAAAAATATAGTGTATTAAGAATTCTTTTACAGAATATCTAGACATATTGACTAAACGATAGTCATAAATGTTTGTCGAACTAAAGTTTGACGAAACTGGTAAGTTCGGTTCTGCTTTAATGACAAATTCTAGTAGTGATCCCCAATAACCAAACTCTGTAATTGTTTTCATCAAATTTTAATTTTACTTAAAACTGTGACCTCTAATCTAAATGCACTTGAAAAACGATGTATTGTGCTGTGGCACAGATAACGGGTGAAATATTAAACCTGGTGCCTATTTTGGAATAAATCCCTATTTTTACATAAAACTGCTTAGTCCATATATCTTTTCACTGATTTATGCTAAATACCTAAATGATCTTCGTCTTCTTTTTTTTTATTCTCATTTGTTAAACCAAAAACGAAAAAAAATTAAACGATTTAAAATTACATGTTCACGAAGGGACGTAAAGTAGTGATTGAGCAACAAAGTCAGCCAGTTACTTGACGAGGCAAATGTTAACGAAACTAAACGCAAATTCTGTTCCAAAAACTTTGTACTACAAAGCATGGCTACTGTTGAAGCAAAGTGCGTTAAGAGCTGTAGTGTCTAGGCGTAATCAATCTGAAACACCCGATTTTACAAAATAAAAAGTTTAACTGCACGCTAGGGGAAAAATAAAGAAACAGACTAAATGCTCATAAGTCGACTATTCAATTGGAGGGCAGCCAGGTAGCAGATCTCTCTGACCGAATTACTAAATTTTGAAGCAGCTCGAAAATTTCGCATAAGAACAGGTTTCCGAAAATAAAAACACTTCTAGATAAACCATCGATCAGAGTATGTGAGTGTTTTGTAATAACATAATCAATTTTTTATTGCGAGATATATGCCCTGAAGACGAAAGCAACTGAACAAGTAGAATTTTGTCGAACAGAACATGAAGATCTGTCCATATGCACCAATAATGTTTGTACAGGACTGTTGAAAAACTCACAAGGGTGGTGCATCACTGCTACTTATTTCCCAGGTCTCTAGATTGATGGATTGTGGAAGAAACATGTTGCATATAATCCAATTGAAAAGGTAAAGATTTTCATCCGTAGATTGTTTTAATATCAGCATCAAACTCCCACTTTACGTTTGATTGTGAAGCAAGAATTTCTTACGCTTCCTCTTAAATTCGAACAAATGAAGCATGCTTAATCTTCCTTATCTGTCCATCAAGGCAATCACGATCGCTAGGAAGGCGTTGGTCTCCTGTAGGACACCATCCACAGCCAGGTTTAGAAATACACGATACGCAGTCAATATATGTATAGAAAGATGTTTTCGACGGCTACGAAATAGCGATTTAAACAAAAAAGCCAAAAACCCTTTGCTTCTATTTCAGATTACTCGGCTTGCACAAGCAGTCATAAGGGATTGTCACAAAAAAGGACACCCAGACATTAGCCACACAATGGCAATCATACGAGAACAATTCTGGATTCCAAAACTACGTGCTCAAGTAACACGAATCCTCAGAAGATGCATTCTATGCCAACGTAACTTGCGACCCCTCCTATCTACCATCAGAAGGGAAAGTGGTACTACGAACAAAAGAACAAGTCATCAAGGTTTTAAATTTATCCTGCAGAATAACAGAAAAAATTTGGGCAATTTGGAATTCTCACTACTTAACATCACTGCGGGAAAAGCATCAGAGTACTTCCACACAAAGAAGCTCGAAATATACGCCTAAAAAAGACAATCTAGTATTAATCAACGACCCTGCGCAACCTCGATCTTCGTGGAAGATGGGAGGAATTAAAGAGCTCGTCAAGAACTCACAAGGTATCGCGCGGGAAGCCGTTATTCTACTACCATCACACCGTCTACCGACCACCCAATCTTTTAACTCCATTGGAATTAGATGAACCTTTATTACAGCAAACACAAAGGGACCGGCAACTCAAGACAACAGCTACACAACCAACTAGACAACACAAATTACGAATGGATGGAAACAACACAAAAGCAGTCACAGAAGCAACTCTCAGAAAGCGGACAGGTACATATAACTTACGACGACAGCAGCGAATCGATTATAACAAACTTCTCAATCCCTCGTTAGCAACAGCTCCAAATATTTCACTGATCCTTAACATTCTATCCCTATTAACTCTTTTGGGACAGTGCACAGCAGCAAATTCGAACCGGCATACCAACATCCGCCATATAAAGTGCATCAAAGGAGGGATACAGCTCATTTCACCTGGCAACACTCCTTACCAGGTATGTGCAGTCGGATACTGCAAAACGTTAGAAACACCAGAGTCCAAAGAGATAGTCAGTCTTCCACCGCATATAATTCTTTATGAGCATAAAATTCAATGGAAACTCGCTGATAATTAATCAATCGATAACAGGTGCAATACTGGCATCAGCAATTGTGATTTATTGCATTATTACCGACTTCTACGTACTGCTATACGTACCACTCACTTTCGGAAAACCAATACGAGTAATATTTCGCTTTATTTGGTATGCAATACGATTGGCAATCACTAATTTGAATCAGAAAATCAGAAGACCTCGCTCTACGCACCACAACATTAAACTCAGCAAACTAATAATGATCGCAATGTCACTTACGCTCACATGTAACGGTTGCCAACAGGTAAATCTGTTCTCCCATATGACAACACTCTGCAGGCATGAACAGAGAGGCCAATTTTGCGACGTCCAACTCTCCGAAGTCTTAAAAATCAACCCTTTCACAAGAGAGGCCTGCTTTAAACTACTCCACAACGAAACATCACTACACGAAATAAGAATCGAA